AAAATCAGAGAACACATAGAAAATTTTAACCCAGCATCACCGAGAGATTACATCGATGCCTTTCTCATAGAAATGGGAGAGGTGAGTGGTGTGCTGTGTTTTCCGTTTTGCATTTCAAATGAAATATGTCAACAGTTATTTATTCCTGTCTCTGCTAGAAGGAGGGCAGTGATTCAGTTTTTGATCACAGCAGTTTAAGTGCATGCACTATGGACCTGTTTTTTGCTGGAAGCGAAACTACAACCACTACTTTACACTGGGGACTACTTTACATGATCTTCTACCCTGACATACAAGGTGTGCATAATATCCACCATGCCTGCATACTGTGTAATCATCTTGCCATCACATATTGATTGCAGGTGGAATGAGAATTTTCTCCCCAGTTAACTGTGCAGCAGACAACACTCAGTTATTATGGCTTTTAAGTTTTTTTTAAGTCTCACTCATTTCAGTTTAGTTTTAGTTTTTAAGTTTATTTTCATCTTAAGCAATATTTTTAAACTTGTTTCCTGTTTTCACTGCACAGAGAGAGTCCAGGCTGAGATCGATGCTGTGATTGGTTCATCCAGACAGCCGTCTATGACTGACAGAGAAAACATGCCCTATACTGATGCGGTCATCCATGAGATCCAGAGAATGGGCAACATTATCCCCTTCAATGTGGCCCGCAGTGCAAGCAAGGACACTGCAATTGATAAGTACACAATCCCAAAGGTACACAATCCACTAATAATTTTAGTGCCTTTTATTTTTCCAAGACACTCTTTCTGGCTTAGCATTTTAAACCTCTAGGAACCAACCCAACCCCCAAACATAAAAAGCAAATAAATATACAATACACAAATAAACCCCAAAACAAAACAAACAAACAAACAAACAAACAAACAAACGGACAAACTGTTGAAACAAGGTGATTATCACGTCCTTTCTAAGTATTCAGGAGATCCTACACTTGCTCTTCGACCTCAGCTTTGTTATTTGTCCATTTTGGACTGTTGTTGATACTTGATGATGCAAACATTGTTTATTTTTTTTGAAGTTGCACAAAGTTATAACTTTAATTAAGTAGCTGTTCACTCTAGTTCATACTAGTGTTTCAAGTATTGTATGGGAAGACAGAAATCATGTGTTTATGTGAGCTTGAACCTGTAGGTGAGTGAGTCTTTCGAATATTGTTCAGAAAATGATCTAAATTCCTGATAAATTAGATGCATTTATTATTAACTGTAGTTATTAGCTAAAATATATGGAAATGGGATATTTTGTGAGATTTAAATAAGAACAGAATGCAGCGATTTGTAAGTTTTATAAACCAACATGTAACAGAAATATATTAGAAAACATGTCAGATGTTTAAATTGAGATATTTTACTATTTCATAAAAACTATCAGCTTATTTTGAATCTGATTACAGAAACATGTCCTAAAAAGGTGGGATAGTAGAAGAGTCATGAAACAAAAAAATATATAACAAATAAAACTCAAGACTGCCTAACAGCTAAATTCCTATATCAGAAAGGATGGGACATTTTCTCCAAAAA